CCCGGACCACCTGGGATGCTGCCTTGAATCCACTGCTGCCTCTGGGGATGTGCATCTTCATCCCTTATGGGCACCTGGGCAGGGTTTACGGTTCAGGGTTTAGGGTTTAGGGTTTAGGGGTTTTTAGGGTTCAGGGTTTAGGGCTTCATAGGCTTATGATGCGGTGGCGAGGGCGCATAGGCAGAAGGTGGTGGTGTTGGCTGTCGCGGTGGCTGTGGCGATGGCGGCGGCAGCGCTGGTGGTTCTATCGGTGGTGCTCATGGTTTGTGACGATGCCAATCAGGCGTGGACGATGATGATGGTGGTGGTGATTATGATGGTGATGGTGATGGTGATGGTGATGGTGATGGTGATGGTGGTGATGATGACGATGATGTTGTTGCTGATGATGCTGAAGCTGGCGGCAGCGGCGGTGGTGGCGGCAGGAGTTATGGTGGTGACGGCAGGAGTTCTGGTGGTGCCGGCGCCGGTTCGGTGGCGGCGGCTACAGGGAGGGTGTGGAAGTTCATCGGGGATGATGACTGCGTTCGTGTCGTGCTATTTTGGCCAGCATGCGGGCAGGAGGTTTCAGCCAAAATAGCCCTTGGTTGCGCTTGGGCTGAATCTTGCTTCCCCAGCGGTCTTCTTCTATGCCCCTCTTCCAAGTCTCAAAGCCTAGTTCCGCTCCTTGGTATTCAGGAAATTGCATTGGTCGAGGTCCTGAAGTCCTGCACTCAATCCTAATCTTCCAAACCAGATGCTATCCCCAAAGTCTAAAACCCTAAACCCTAAACCCTAAAACACTCACGGCAGCAGAGGAATCCATTCGGCAATGTCTACAGCAACCCAGGGACTGGGCCCAAGACTACCATTGCCGTCTTCTGGATCATGGGCTTCCTGCTCGCTGTCACTGTGGGGGTGTTGAAAAGTCAGGAGGTTTTGGACTCTTGAGCTCTGAGTCTTGCATTCCGACGTCCGTCGGCTTAGGTTTGAGACTTTAATTTAATTTAATTAGATTCAAGTTCTATATTATACATATATATGAATATATATTATAGTATATATATATATATATATGTATTGTGTTGTGTTTAGGATTTGGCATGGTTTGGCTTTCCGGGTGCAGGCCAAGGGCCTCTTGCTGGACAGCTGTTGAGAAGATGAACACAGGGTCTGCACACAGCCGGTCCACAACCGAGCTTCCCGCCCCTGAGCCCTTCACTTTAATGTTTTCCCTGCCCCTGAGTCAGGTCTGCCGTTATTCAAGAGTGCTTCCCGGAAAGTACATTGCATCGACGGCTTTCCACTGGGGCACATTTCTGACGGCACTCCTGTGGGTAGGACTTATCGCCAACGAGGTCATTTCGCTCCTATGTGTATTGGGAAAGGTTCTGGGTCTTTCTCCCACGACTATGGGCATCACAATGCTGGCCCTGGGAAACACCGTGGATAACGTTTTTGCTTCATACGGCCTCGCCACCTCCGGAGCATTTACCGTTGCTTTGACGGGCACATACGCTGCAGATACATTTACCATGCTTTGCGTCGTTGGATCTATTCTCCTGATGATGGCGATCCAAAGCCACGAGGAGGTTCCTCCACCCTAAACCCTGAACATTGAACCGTGAGCCCTGGATCAGTAAGCAAGCCTAAACCGCGAACACTAAACCGTTAACATTAAACCGTCAACCCTAAATTGCTAAGCCTAAACCTAAACCTATGACCCTAAACCGTGAACCCTAAATCGTTAGCCCCAAACCCTGAATACTAAACGGTTAACCCTAGACCGTGAACCCTCTTTCGATGAACCCTGAACACTACACCTGCAAAACCCTAAGCCCTAAACCCTAACAAAAACAAAACCTAATCCCTGAAAAGGTTCCTTTTCTGCTGTCTCCGTGCGTGATCTTCCTTCTTATCAGCTTACAGGTCTTCCTCGCGGTCACGTGGACGCTCGTGGCGGTTTTCTGTGTAGGGTTTACGGCGTTTAGGGTTGAGGGTTTACGATCTATGGGTGAGGGCCACACAGCAGCTAAGGGCTTCGTCTATACCACTACACATTCTTGCTGACCTTCTCAATCTCAATCCCCCCCCCATAAATCCCAGATCCTGTCGAAGTTATGTGCAGAAAGTTCTCGGGGCGGAACATCAAGGCTCAAGGTAAGCAGCCCTACTATAGGGGCGTTGCTAATTAGAATAGGGTTTTGGGGTATACTGTACCATAATTATAATAAGGAACCCCCAACACCCTACTCTAATTATTAAGGCCCCTACAGTACTGCTTAACACTGGCAGCATATCTTCGGTGCAATGCAAGCCCATTCTGTCTACCTCAACCCTACCAATACTATTTTGGGGTTCCTTATTTATCGTATAGTGGGCCCCGAAACCCTATTCTAATTGTTAAGGCCCCTATATTAGGCACGACTAGCCCGCGCAGCGTGGGCTTAGCTGATGTACTCAGCCGGTCCTCGCACTATGCTACGCTGGTAAAGCCTGAAAGATGCTGAAGGCAACGTCTCAAGAATCCCTGCAATAAGCATCCGTATTCCTTATTCCAAACCCTGAACCCACCTTTTGAACTCGCTCTACGATGGGGGTTTAAGTAATCATACCAATACTATTTTGGTGGTTCCTTCTTATACATATAGCACCTGCACCCCAGAGCCTTATTCTAATTAACTTTTAAACCCTAGACGCTTAAACCCTAAACCCGAAACCCCAGAGTCTTGTTAAAGCCCCTATATTAGCCTCAAGGACCTGGGTTAAGTTCAGCGGCTGGAAGATCCACAGCGCTCTTGGATGGACCCTAGCGATCGCCTATCCCACGGCTTTGGCACTGGGATTTTTGACAGAGCGGCAGATGGCCCCTCAAAGTTAGGGGCCTGGATTACAGGTTTCGGGCTGTAGGGCTCAGGAGAATAATGTTTATAAGCCCTATGAAACCCTAAGCCTTAATTTAAAACCCTATAGCCCTAAAACCCCTAAACCCTTAACCCTATAGGGTTTAGTGGTGTTGTTCTGAAGGGTTTAGTGGGTTGTTTTGAACCTCGAGCTTCGCATTGCTTTGGGCAGTCGCGCCCCTCGGCGGTGGGATCGAAATCCGCGGGCTGGGAATCTGGCTATTGAGCAGTCATGGTCTGCCCCAGAGCACCCTGAAAAGGATTTCGTACTGGGTTTAATGTAGAAGCCGAAATAATTACGAATATTCTTAGGGCTCCTTATTATAGTTATACTATACAAGAGCCCAAAACATTATTCTAATAATTAAGGTCCCTACACTAGGGATCAGGGTTTATAAGGAGGATCCAGGGTGAATGGTTTAGGGTTCTCCCATGAAGCCTCTTCAAGCTTGTAGCGTTTGCATATGCCTTGGAAGCCGCAGATAAGCCCATGCACGAAAAGCAAAACACACCTAAACAAACCTAGACCCTGTACCTGCAAGTGTGGGCGGCTGGGAAGGCAGAGAGGAAGCATTATGTATGAGTAATCATGAATGTATGCATGCCGCATGTATGTACACATACCCGAAAGAGATTGTTTCCAGCAAGCCGGCTTAGATTTCAAGTCCTACGTCAGCGTGTTATTGAAAGCCCTAGCCTTCACCGCGTTCCTGAATCCTTCGGCTTGGCTTGGAGGGTCGATGAGAGGAGGGTTTAGGGTTGAGGGTTTAGGGTTTATGGTTCAGCGTTTAGGGTTGAGGCCTTCAATGAAAATTTCACACTTCAAGGACAAAGTCCTGCATCAGTCTCAGCATTCAGGGGTAGGGGCTTGACATACCCACGTAACCCTGCAACCAAAGCCCCGAAATCTACGAGTCAGAAGGAGCATGTCGTGCGGAAAGTCTCTTCGGTCCGGAGCTTAGTCTTTCACGAACCGTTTGTTTCGAGTTTGGGTCTTGGGCTTTGAGGTGTGAGTGTGCGAGATGTAGCCCAGCGTCTTGCTCGTAGGGTCGGCTGCGGATTTTGATGGTTTTAGCATATCTCAAACCTGGGGCGGATCTGAGAGTTTCACTTGTCTTGCGACTTGATCCTAGGTTCTGAGCGCTAGACTCTACACGCAGAAGCGGCAAAGCAATAACAAGCCTTGTCTATGCAGTTGGCCACCAGAGGACTTAAGATGGAATGCCATCGGAGGGTTTTTGTAAGCAGGGACGGTTAAGACAACAAAATCCGATCATCAGAATTCCTGCAGAGCAGAAATTCACTCAGACTTCAACGCCCCGGAATCCATCAGGTCCATAAACCTTGAATTCTGAGCCCTGGTTCCCACTTAGGGTTTAGAGTTTGGGGTTCCTAGGTAGTATTAGGGAGACCTTTTAAAGGGGGACTCTTCTTAACCCTACTTCTGGGTCTCTTAAAGGGGACGTCATTGAGAGAGTCTGTATCCCCAAGAATCACCCTAATCCTAACTAACTCACAACTCAGGGCCGCAAAAACCAGTTGGTTTCCACCAAAGCTGGAATCTTTGAGAAATGTCCAAAGCCTTGGAGACACTTCGATAGCCGAAACACTTGGGACCCCCTGCAAAGACACAAGATTCCCGAAGTTGGATGCCTAGACCCTAAAGTTAAACTTCAACCTAACCCGGTGAACCCCGCAACCCCCAGAACCTGTAAGCTGTGACCCTCGTGCGATGGACTTAAACTCCCAAACCCCGAAGTTAAACCCATAAGCTCTAGACTGACATCCAAGCTGCCAGGCACCTTCAGGGGGAGCATGCCTGTGAGGTTGGGCTTTTGATGGGTTTACGGGGCTTGAGGGGTACTTGATGGGTTTAGGGCTGTGGTATTCAGTCTTTTCTGGCCTTTGGGTGGGGTTGGGTATCTGGGGCTTTCGGAATTAAGCCTTATGGCTTTGAGCGTAGAGTGTAGGGACCGGGCCCAAATGGGTGAAAGAGGGCGGGTTGTTGCTGTTTTGCAGTTGTTTGGGATTCTGCATTATGGGATTTGGGACTTCAGGCTTTGAAGTCTTAACCCTGAACCCTAAACCCTAAACCCTGAGGCATGCAGGGTGTGTCGTCGGCTGTCCAGCTGCGCACTGCTGCGGGTTAGGGTTTAGGGTTTAGGGTTTAGGGTTTAGGGTTTAGGGGGTAGGGTTTAGGGCCCATTGTTGAACCTACCGACGAGCCAAGCAACATGCAGTGTGACAAAAGGATATTTCAACAGGCTCTCAGCGAACATCTCAGCCGAAGTACACAATCGAAGTCTAAACCCTAAGCCGTAGTGGCAACCAGATCGAACTGTTTCGCCTGCCCACGGCATTTGCATCCCTTTAGAAGAAGAATAGGGGTAGGTCGGGGTAGGTTCCAGAAATAGTACTGCACCCTTATAAAAGGACCCGAAAAGGGACCCTAATTTAGAGAACTACTTACCCCTAAACCCTAAACCCTAAACCCTAAACCCTAAACCCTAAACCCCTACTTACGTATACTTGCTCTCCGGGCGTAGCAAACTGGAGTGTGAAGAGCCAGCTTCTACTTCCAGAAAGCAAGAAGTGGAGAGCCAAGCCCGTCATAGTTTTAGGGTTTAGGGTTTAGGGTTTAGGGTTTTAGGGTTTAGGGTTTAGGGTTTAGGGTTTAGGGTTTAGGGTTTTAGGGTTTAGGGTTTTATTCTGTGTTACTCGTAGGACAAGGGCTTGTGGCTTGCGACGTAATCACTCGAAAGTCGACTCGGGACTGCAGCGGGCTGGGAAGTGGTCACACTCTTCCCAACTCTTACATTGTTGGTTTTAGGGTGGGTTTAGGGTTTATAAGGTTTAGGGTAGTGCACATTTGATACGGATGGCAGATAGGTTATCGAGCTGATCTAATGTAGAGGTCGGAATTGGTTGTTTCAACCCCCATCCTTTTCATCCTTTTTTCCGACCCCTTCAACTTTGTTTGATCCCCCCC